ATATCACTTTTAAAATGACGTAGGACGATTATCCATCATCTTATTATACCAACCAATGAAATCGCTTGAATAAAGCAAATGTCGTCATTTCGATCTAATTTAGAGTCGGGAAATTCCAACAAAGGGAATTTCTTACCCCGGTATTTGTCACGACAAATCCAGAGCTTAGCATGCTAAAATATGAGCGCATATGAGTTTTGAATAATTTCGTGATATAAAAACAGTACACTTACTTCACAATAAACGAGAAAGAACTTACGAATAACATGAAACTGTGTCTCCGTCCGGGCGACGAATTCGGCTTGAGCGGGCTCCTATCATGCTTAGCGTTGTAGTCAAGAACGACAACTCAATACCGCTTCAAGTTCGCGTGAGTGTTAATATTTCACGATATGTGCGCACTGTACCGTGACTAAATTTTCGATACATGACAAGGTGTAATATGACCTAATTACTCAATCCACAAAGTTTCACTTTATTTGGAGAACGCGTTTTTAAAATATCGGAATAAATATTACCCTGCGTTTCTTTATCCGTTCAGTATATATATCATTCCCTAAACCTCTGGTAGTGCAGATTATTAGAAACAAATTACATTAATAATTACATACGTGCAATAAACAAAATAAATTGGTCAATAAATCTTTGCTTGAGGGATCTTGGCGCCCATCATTGTTTAATCTTTATTTGCACTTTGAAAAAAATGGATCTTTTCCCTTCTTTTCTCTTCTCTTGTTTGTTTTTGCTCATAATGATAAGACATTTCAACACTGCTCTCCAGAGATTGCAATGATAATCTTTACCTGCCAAGTCTAAAATGCCCGCCTGGGATCCATTATGTTTCTTCTCATCAGTCCCAAAATTGAAAGGGCACAAGGAGATGTGTGGAGCATACGTATGGAACATGAGAGATATCCATGCAGTACTTCTTCATACAGTCCGTGGATATTGCAGCGGACTGTTTCACCATGATGCACACAACCAACAGGTCTCCGAGAGTTACTTCCTTTCGTATTAATTTAGTTAGTATAAATAGTCTCTCCTTATCACGTACAAGATAGACAACTTAACGGAAGATGGACAGCTCTTGTACAGTTACTTTATATAAGTGTACATGGACTTCACATAGAAATACATAGGCTAGACTAGAACCAGAAAGCGCCGTGACAGCATTTACTATCAACATTATCAAATAAAGGCAAACACGGCATACATATACATAGAGTGGTGTAGTCAGGAGATTAACGGCAACAACTCGCTTGTAGATACTCTCCTAAGTTACAAATTTCTTTCCTTTTACGTACAGATAGCAGGTAGACAAGTTGATATGAAAATGGGCGGTTCTAATAATACATTTTAATGAACTTTTTACGAATGTCTACATTTAGTGGACAGATAAGAACAAGATGGAGCTCGTCTTCTACCTGATTCAGATCATGTCTAGCACCTCTAAGACACACAGCATTCCAATAATAAATAGCAGTATTAAACTTAGATGTCAAATTTCCTGTTGACGACACTCTTAAATAAATAATCACTATATGCCATACAAAGCAAGCACACATCTAATAACATTGTATCCTATCAAGTTTCTACAAGATTTCTTCACTGCCCATGTCAGCTTTGTACGTATCAACTGGGATATGACACGAGAATTCCGGAAGTTCCTTCATGTGAAGAATTACGCCCCTTGGATAACACGACTCCATTTTGCCGATATCTATCGTTATATTTTTTTACTATTTTTACAGATAATGTACGGACCGAATCAGAAGACATCCATATCATTTTCGACTTCATGGAGACAATTGACAAAACCAAACATGATTTATTCCTAGCAACTGATTCCAACGAAATACAAAAACAATTCAAAAATAAATATTCTAAAAATTTCATTCTAAATATTCCAGGGAGGATAACGCACAGAGACAGAACAAAGAATGGTGATTTGTGTGACGGCTTTCAAAAACAACTTCTTGATTTTCTGTTATTACGAACTTGTGACAAACTAGTGATGTGTGAAAGTGGATTTAGTATGATGGCAGCTTACTGGCGTGAGGAGAATGAAGGGCTATACTGCTGGACCCGGCGGTCAGTTGTTCCCTGCTCTCGGTACACCATCCACGACATTTTCCCTCTACCCTTACTAAGTCCTCCACGATGAGCATTTAAACCGAAACGATGATGAATTGTTACTTCCGGTAAACGATTGACAAATCGTTACTTCCGGTGAGGTAGAGATTTACTATCAGTTCTGGCACAAAAAGCATATATTACAAGTTGTGATTGCTTTCATACTATGGTATACATTTAAAAAAGTCTTACGTAGCATAAAATAATCAGCAGAGGCCTTGTTCGAGCATTGGTCATGGTCTGTCACTCACGTGTAACAGATAAGAGCACTGACGAAGATATGAAGTCTATCATCTTTTCTTTGAAACATAATTAATGCGGTATTTTCAAGTTGCAGCAGAAACTTACACGAGATGACCTATCTACTGGTGACTAACCAGAATGTATCTGTATAAGGAAAAATTCCGCCCTGATTATTTCACACCCTTGTATCAGGATACAAGAATTCGCCTCGCACATTTAAATGAGGGCGACAATTTTACGGTATACAGCGTCTATACTGTGTGAATTTCATGTGATTTAAATCAAACTGCGTCATGTTTGTATGTTATCGCCAATCTGTTGTAAAGAAGTGAATGCTACAAGATACAAGGCCCGACATAAGTCACTGTCTAATTTCACTGGTATTCTTAAATTAGAGTATTTTGAAATGAATAGAATTTGAAACACCCCGATTAAGATTTATCCTATTGTAAGTATAGAATACAAAAACGTGTTTGGAACATGTTTTTAAAAAGAAGCACAATGTGATTTTCCTGGCCAGCCTGGGTTGTCACATGAACAATGTTAAAGAGTGTTCTCCACTAAATCGCCTGTTATACCTGTTAATTTCCGAATGTATAAATTTGGTATTGCGTCCTCAAAATCTTGTACTTTCAGTGATGAGTTTGAAACGATACCACATCTGTTTTATGATTGTCCATTTATTCAGCCTATAGTTTCTCTAGTTAACTCCTAGATACATAAAATTTCAGATAATAAAATCCCCACTGATTCAGGACTTTGGCGTTTTCGTGTCCCTAGTAGTTTATCTCTGAAATTGAAATTCCCTATCCTGTATTTAGTGGCAGAATTCATTCCCTCCATTTGGCTTATTCTGTGTTCTAAGAAATTTGAACATAATCTCCTACTTCTAATTCTCCCATCTGCCACTTCCACTGTAACATAACTTCCCCGTTAAGAGCAGATCCCCCCCCCCCACAATTTCCTCAAAATCTGTTCTCTGAGTATTAGTTGCTACTGACATTTTCTGTAATATCAAGGAGGCCAAAGTAATTATTAACCCCTTTTTGTAATTGTTATATAATCTGCTGGTGTTGTATTCCATTTATCTCGCGTATTCATTGTTTAACCATTTATCCATGTGTAAAAGTTTTTCTTGTTGTATAAATATCACTGGCATCATTGGCGTTTGTCTCATGATGTTTGAGCATGTTTTTTTTTTAAAAAATAAATATTTATGAGACACTAAAGCTTGGGTTGTCACATGAACAAAGCTGCCTAAAAGAATATTATTATCCCTACAACTAATCACTTATATGAATGCGGCTATGACAGGTCCGTTACGACATGCTTTCCATAAGTTTGGGTTATTCGTTACATTGAATTTTAAGTGAAACTGAACCATTATTCATTAATGTACACCTGAAAGCCCCTTAAATATACTGACCTCGTCATTGTCATTATTTTTCTTGGCATATATTTTGCATTCTTCACGAATACAAACGCACAATATGTTCAACAGTTGGAGAGAAAACTACATCTGTAATAAGATTACTAAATTTTCTATTAATGATATCTAACGTAACGGTAACACATCGGCAAGCTCTCTCCTCTCGACTCTAAAGGCCTCTGAATCGAAACAAACTAACAAACTGACTGACTGACTAACTAACTTACACTAACTAACTAACTAACTAACTAACTAACTAACTAACTGACTGACTGACTGACTGACTGACTTACACTAACTAACTAACTATCTAACTGACTGACTGACTAACTTACACTAACACACGCACACGCGCGCGCACACACCCTCACACACCACACACATATCTTCTTTGGCCATAGTTTTGGAGAAATCCGTGATGGTGGGACGTATTTTACATTGTTAAGTTTTTATGCTATTCCAGTATTTTTTAACAGTAGACTATTTATGCATAGTGAAGTTATATGCGATCCTGAAATTAGCACCAACTAATTAATTAATGTAATGAATGAATTTGATTTATAATTGAAGTGTACTGTGTATATAAACACTCTACTACCAATATTGCAGTAACATAAAATCTTTTCTTTAAAGATGTTTGTTCTTCTTTATCTTTTATTATTCAAGTCTCCGCATTGCAATTTCCTTTGTACCATTTCTAAATTGTTTTCGATCTCGAGAAATGTATTGGGCCTCTTTGGTTCCTGAAAAAGGACGAAATTGATGATAAGCAATAAGCCAAGCCAGCAATCGGATACTTATGTTTACAGACATGGAGTTCGATTGGAAACAATGTGTGCTTCCATTTATATTTTTTGTATGTTAATGGTGATTACAAAATACAAGACGGAAATGTAATCTCCCGCGTCAAATTCTCGATCATTAAAATTTCCGTCAGAGTCGGTGAACACCAAAACCAAGGTAAAATCTGCAAACACTGGAATTTTTCACAAAAAACTCCTTCAACACATCGTCAATCATATCTTCCGATCATCTTAGAAGTCGTCTGTGTTGAGATGTTTGCGATTTGAGATACAAGAACTTCCCACAATTATGAAAGCACAACTTGGTTTTCAAACGGTTTCTTCACTATCTTTCGTCTAGATTAGTGATCAAAAGAATTCACCAGTATCCAAAAATTAAGTCTGGAAGATGATCACGCTGGTCATATTTTATTGTATAATTGTCAAATATTGTAAAATTACAGAAACATATGAGATTCATCACGTGATGATATTAAAATTAATTTGACAATGGAATTCGTGCGATAACAATAAAATATATACCTAAAAGGTAAAAAAAATGTCATACGTTCATTATTTTAAAATGTCATGAACCACACAATACACAAACAAAATAAAACAATTCATACAAATGAAAAAAACTGTTAGCAAGATTAACCCATTTATACAATTCCTTCACATTTTCATTCAATTTTAATTTAATGCAGTTTCATAGAGAAGTAAACCGCGGAAGTAATCCCCACAGTAACATAAGTGATGTTTTCGTCGCACAAAAAAATTGTGTTAAGTGTGCGTGGTAGTTCGAATCTACACAAGAAAAACACTTCAGTAACGTTATGAGAATTTTAAAACAAACCAACTAATCATCAGATAACGTAGCTTAATGCAGGATTTCTTTGCATAAACATATAAAGACTAACTTTGTTTTTTACATTAAGGAACAATAACGGATTTCTTTTTTCTATAATTACATGTATATATGCTGCAATCGATTCCTACCGGCTATAAACATTATATAGAATTTCTTGTGTACAACAAATCTGCGTTAAATTGAATGGTTGATATAAACGAGTGAAAATATAGAATAAGTGTATGATGATTCCACCATCAGTACGTTAGTTCCATTCTCTAGAGTAATTATCCTCGATACTCCAGGAGTTACGATCACTTTCACTCTCTGTGCTCCTGGAGTATTTCCAGGCCGAACTGAAACGAGGTCATTTGGCCTAGATCGGGTTTCGGGACAAGAAAAAAAAACTTGACCAATCAAATACTCATATACGCTAATTTAAAAATTACGACACCAAACTTTGAAGCCAGAAAAGCACGCCGTTATGTGACTTCGATATTCGTTTGTTTTACACCGAATGATCAAACCAGTCTTCTCGCTTTATCCACTAGGTGTCACACAGGGAACCTTAAATTTTTCAAGGAAATTAACATTTTTTACAATATTCACCCAATTGTTTCTGTCTACGAACAAGTTTGTATTAATCTAGTCAGTTCTCCAAATCAAAAAAATTAACAAAACAAAAAAATTAAATTAGATACAAAAAAAAAAAAAAAAAAACGTTCACAGAACTGTTTTCAAAGACACGTAAAACATGCACCACCAGTCAGCATATAAACATTAGAATGTGTTTACGAAAATTCTTTGATTGTATCTACCATGGATAAGTAAAGCAAATACGCATTGTTGAAAATGATTGGAATTTCTTTGGCGGCAGGATACTATACAGAGTCTGAATTAATAAATGGAGAACGTTTCAGAGATTAAATTTGATCTTTCCGAGTATGTAATAATGATACTACCCTTTGTGCAAGCAGCACGATACAACATACTGCTTGCTTACTGGTGTAATATATGCTTAAGTACAAACCGATAAAAGCATACAAATAAAAATCTCTTCAATAATTCAGTACCTGTCATTGCATTCAGAAACACAACTTGGAAACAAACGATGGTGAAACTGTTTCACGTAAAATATTTCGTCGATACATACACTATCACGGAAACTGAATGTGGTAAAAACAACGCCATTCAACACAAGGACAATGCTGCTAAACCGAGAGATAATGGATAAACGAATAAACACAAACATAAAAGCGAAATAATAACTGAAGAACAAGAGACTGGTTGAAACTAGTCGTTACTCATGACATCAGTTTTGGTTGAATTGATATTTGGTTGAAAGAACTGTCAGGAGTGCCAATATGGTGACACCTGTCAGTGATTTACAATTAAAAGTTTTGACTATTGCTACTGCCTCTAATTAAAAAAAAATAAAAAAAGCTAGGTTTTTTTTTCACATTTTGTCCGAGTCACAGTTAACTTAATGTTAAGTCGAATTTTGTTGTCGATAGGGAGGACATGGTACAATATCAATTATTCATGGATCAGCTGAAAACATGATACTTTTTCAGGTCGGTCATATTAAGACATTTTCGAAAAAGTTCCAGTTAACAGTAAAAGAAAAAAAGGAATGTGTTTTTCCGACTGCCATTTGGTACGTGTTTGGTACCAAATACAGAGACATCCCGTCTCATAATCTGTCCAGCACTAACATGCAATGCTCGAAGTCAGAATACACAAAACAGCTGTTAGATCAGCTGATGTTACTATAAATACGTACATCAAAACAGCAGATAGAATAGAATAATATTTTAAGGCTTAACAATATATATATTTACAACACTGAAAAAGCAGTATTAAAAAGGGAACACATGAAAGCGTTAGAATTAATTGATCTATGGTGTAGTGTGTACTGGTCTTCGGTATGGTTATATAATCATATATATGTTCAACAAAAGTATACCACTTCATGTCTACCAAAATATTTTAAAGCCTTACTCCTCCATGTTATCCATTATCTTGCTTTCAAATAACACAGAATTAAAATATTACCTTAAAATTTAATGTTTCGTAAAATGTATCGATAATTCATAAAAATATACATGTACTCATTTGATTTTATCATGACAACATCTTTCATTAACATCTTTAAACAGAAAAAAAAACATAATGCTGATTACAAATCTTTCTTATAATGCTGCGTCAACAACCTAGATTCCTTCATCACAAAAATGAAATTATAGGTTTTTTTCAGTAATCACCATACACAAACCTGTACGTAGAAATCACACTAGAAGTGTAAAAGCAATAGTTTAAAGCAAGAAGCATCTCTCTACAGGTCCAAACAAAACGAAAATCCATTCAATGCAGGTACTCACCTGAACATCATACCATATAAAATAAAACTTCACTGACATCAATGACAGAAAAGTATTCTAATAAATACCATGTGACATAATCTCGCTATATAAATACCACGCTCATCATTAAGTAAAAAAACATCAAATAAATACAGCATCACAGCTCTATCAAGGACCCACACAACATTCCAATATGAAGTTAAGCAGTATACAGTGACTTTGATGATCATTTTCGTATTGATTTTATCACAATGTTCTCATCCTTCAAAACAGGGAGGGAAGTAATTAAATATAAAGGTATTGATTTGATTTATGAAACGTATCATTAACACTGATTTCTCAAAAATACATGTTGAATACTTTTGATTTTTAATGTATATGAAAACAACAGGCCCAAAAGGCCTTTATGGCTCATCTTGATATTTAAGTCAATAATGCAAAACTTTATATTTCTTTGTAAGGAAAATATTTCCCCTGATGAGCCTCACCCCACAGATACAGCTTCAAATTCCCTAGGGGTGGGGACAGAGATCAGTTGTTAATCTCTTGATGTCCAGCAGTGCTATCAAGTTATGGGATGGTAATTTCAATTTCAAAGACAAAATCAGTTCTGGGGTGGGACCAGACCCCAGGACAAATTATCAGTTATGATTGAGTTTGTCTCCTGATGCTCAGCAATGCTACTGTTATTCAGTGGGGATCACAACTGTTTCAAATAACCAAATGTCCAAATGAACTGTTGATGATGACATGAAAATAAAGTAAATCTACTTGGTGGTTAGAATTTCTCTACCGGGCCCCAACACTTTGACCCCAGGTGACAGAGAATTACAATTTATACAAAACTTATTTTCCTTTACCTAAACATGCTCCAGGCCCTATTGGGCCTCGCCCCTCTAGCCCCAGGGGGCCGAGACCCACCATTTATACCACACTGATTTTTCTTGGTCTAAGCATGCTTCAGAACAATTTTGGATAGCATCCTGAATTTCTTGAAGAACAAGATAAATTTTTAAGAATTCCATAAAACCGTTTTCCGTTTCCCCTAGGATGCCTCTGACCAAATATTATTAAACTAGTAGCAAAATATAAGTTTACAGATGCTGAGCGCCATGGTATCCTTAAAGCTCACCTGGCTCGATAAAAACTAAAAAGGATAAAAACATTAGGTTATATAAAAAGCTCATATCTATAACGGCTCAAAAACTGATTCACTGCTATGTGTTGCTGCTGATACTTTGATGCAAGATAAACATTTTCCATATTTAATTGCAATAAGTCACAGTAATATGTATAAACAAACATTTTTGGAATCTTTTATGAAATTGTTTGTCCTATTTTAATGACACTTTAATAAAGAATGCAGAAACTGTCCTTATACTTGAAAAACTACTTAAAGAGTTAATAAATTGGGGCCAAAACAGATTTTCAATTTCTAAGAAACTGATCTGTCATTGCTGAAAGGTAAGTCAAGTGGCTGCAGAATGAAAATATTATTTGTTTCTGATGTGCAGGTATTTCTCGACCACCCGAAATCTCATTGAGAGATTGTGCAATGTTTGGTGGAATATTCAAAATTTGAAAGTACCATGTCTTAAAATGTTTTCATTCTTGATTCATTGTTTTCATCTGTGAATTGAGTATTGAGGACCATAGAACCCTTGTTTTCACGATTGCAGTTGTGGCTTAAGAGCAGAAGCTCATTATATAAACTTAATTCACAGACTCAGCAAAAAGTCTTAGATTTGTTTCATAAATCCCATATTCAAAATAAGACCTCACTTTCAAACATGACAAACATCCAGGAAGACATTTTCAGCTATTGAACAAGGATGACAAGCTGACATCATTTCCTATCAATATGGTACAAACAGAGAGCAACAAGTACGAGAATTAAAGACAACACGAAAAATGAATTAATCCTTGTGTTAAAAACAGATACTGAGAGTCCTGTGGCGACAAGCATGGCACATGACACGACGAACAGACGTGTTATATTACTGGCATGCTTCATTATCACAGACATGATGAGACCGTTGGTGGCCTGTAAAAAGAAAATCAAAGGACTGACTCTCTTGACAGCAAATACAAGCCAAAAGCTATGAAGACAAAATTGAAGTACTGAAAGTTTGAATCATGATAGTAAAGTATGTTACAGCCTATTAAAGCTGTCCATTCATCTTTTTAACATGTCATGTCCATGGTATTGGCAAAATAATTATTTACTGAATATAACAGCAACCTAATATGTATAATAACAAGAGATCCCAGAGGGATCTTGGCGCCCACCATTTGAGGATCTGTTTTCAGTTCTTGAAGATTTGTTTATCTTTTTTTTGTTACAGGTGTTGTAAATGTTCATGAACTGGTCTTCATTGAATGTACTCAATGATGGCAAAAGATATTTTTATTAAGCACCTATTAGCAAATATCATTTGAAAAAGATCCCAAAGTATTATTAGATATCAGTCAGTTACAGGTGGATAATGGACATGGTCTTGAATCAATATGATAGAATATCGAAGAAAATATGCTTGTGCTGTATTACTGTCGACATCCAAGAAGGCTGCCTGTGGGCCACCTTGATTTCAAATCAGTCCAAAAAAGGTACAATGCACAACTAGGGACCAAGGGAAACCAATACCTATGAAATATCAGAAGGATCCATCCAGTACTTCCTTAGAAATAGCGGTAACAAGATTTTACTCTCAAAATCCAAGATGACGGCCTGTCAGCCATCTTGATTTCGAATCAGTCCAACAAAGGTACACTGCACAACTAGGGACCAAGGGGAACCTGCATATGAAATTTGAGAAAGATCCATCCAGTACTTTTCCATAAATAGCGGTAACAAGAATTGTTTACGGACGGACGGACGGACGGACCACGGACCACGGACGCAGGGCAATTTGAATAGCCCATCATCTGATGATGGTGGGCTAAAAAGAGAGAATGACATACATAAACATCTGCAAATTTCAACCTATGATAAGTAAATCTTGATGTCAAACTTGAAATGATATGCTACCATTAATGTGTTGTTGTGTTGACCTCATTTAATTTTTTTACCTGTATTTTCTTTGTCTGACCTCATTATATATCTTAACCCGTATTTTCTCTTTGTCTGACCTCATTATATATCTTTACCTGTATTTTCTCATTGTCTGACCTCGTTATATATCTTTACCTGTATTTTCTCCTTGTCTGACCTCATTATATATCTTTACCTGTATTTTCTCATTGTCTGACCTCGTTATATATCTTAACCTGTATTTTCTCATTGTCTTACTTCTTGACATATCTTTACCAGTATTTTATCATTGTCTGACCTCGTCATATATCTTCACCAGTATTTTCTCTTTGTCTGACCTCATTACATATCTTTACCTGTATTTTCTCATTGTCTGACCTCGTTATATATCTTTACCTGTATTTTCTCATTGTCTGACCTCATTATATATCTTTACCTGTATTTTCTCATTGTTTGACCTCGTTATATATCTTAACCTGTATTTTCTCATTGTCTTACTTCTTGACATATCTTTACCAGTATTTTCTCATTGTCTGACCTCGTTATATATCTTCACCAGTATTTTCTCATTGTCTGACCTCATTATATATCTTCACCAGTATTTTATCATTGTCTGACCTCGTCATATATCTTCACCAGTATTTTCTCTTTGTCTGACCTCATTACATATCTTTACCTGTATTTTCTCATTGTCTGACCTCGTTATATATCTTTACCAGTATTTTATCATTGTCTGACCTCATTATCTATCGTTACCTGTGTTTTTTTCCTTGCCTGACCTCATTATATTTCCTTACCTGTGTTACGACAATCATCCAGGTAAACACACTATAACCTCTGAATGGATGAAACTGGCTTTCTGTAAAAACATTATAAAGTTGATATCTAAGCCAAGTACTTTTGATTCAATTGGAAGATATCAGAATCTATTTAATGTAGATAACTGATCTTTTTGGGAAGTCAAATGATGTTAATTAACTTTTTTTGGAAATCCTTGAAGTCCTGATTAATGCACGAATCTCAACATATTTTTAATAGGGGTTGGGGGCTAAATTCTTAGCAATCTTACTATACACAATTGAAACAAGAGGCCCATAGGGACTGTGTTGCTCACCTAGTAGCGTTTGATGAAATTGATTGACTTAAACAAAAGGAAAAGTATTCAAAACACTTGATCTATTTCCCTTATCTGGCCCCACCTCTCTTCCCAACCGGGAGATTATTTCCTCTTCCCTCAAGGATGCTTCAGACCAAATATGCTCAAAATCCACTTATTCATTCTTGACTAGTAATGTTTTAAAGGAAAAGTTGACAGTCATATGGGTGGAAAGATGACAGACTGTGGTATCCCTAAAGCATATTTGTCCCTTTGAGCCAGGTAAGCTAAATAGTTAAAGAATCCTTGAAAATACTTGCTTTACATTACAATTCAAGTATTCCATGCAATTTGAACTCTTACTGCCATCCAAAGAATAAAACCTAAATATGACAACTATATGATACAGGGAATGAAATATGAAAACATGAACAAAGGACCATAACTTTGTAAATTGTAGTTATAGGTATCACACCACCATTGAAATATATATGGTTTAGAAGGCTCGACTGTAAGTTTCTAACTGTGGGTTGATAATTGTACCTGTTTTTGGGTGATCCATTTCCTGTAAAAACCAGCTACAGAAGTTGATGACAATTCCAAACATATACAGCAGAATATTCTGATAATGTAAAGACATCTGAAAGTAAAAGCAGCGAAGGTCAGTTGTGAATTCAATCAAAACTTATTTCATCTCAATAATATCAAACAAAGAAATATACACTTCTATTATTTCATAAATATACCATAAAACTTCTCTCCACCAGCTGAAGAGTTATAAAAATCTTAATGATTTTAAGACTTAAATAAAAAAATATTGATAAAGTTTTTATTCATTGAAATTCAGCAGTTTTGGGAAAGAGGTTTCATTGATGACCACAAGAACTAACACTTTGTGGAAGAGAATTGCTACAGCTACAATTATGCAGTTCAGATTTAGAATTTTTTTTAATCCATAAAGCATTTGCTAATTCTCTATAAAACAGTTTTAATGAGGATAAAGTTTCCATCAAGAACATTTGATCAAAGTCACAGAGTCAGCCTGAAGACGCCAAACACCAATAAAGATGTAACACAACGTACCACAACGTTCTTTTTCAAGATGTATTCTGTGGCGACACCTGCCAGACCAGACAACGTACAGTAGATCACCATCATAACTAGACCTAGAATAGTCACATGGATTTCTCCAGCAGTTTTCATCTCTCCTTTTTCTTGTAGTCCACCATAGCTGCAATTTAAATTAATATTAGATATTATCAAAACATCCTAATGCTGTTTCTAGAGATAGATAACATATGAAAAAAATAACTAATTCTTCAAAAATCAAACACCTGACACATCAGAGGAAAGATTTGTCAAACATTGATTTTCCTGTTAAAAAAAAGAAAACAGTTTTCAATCACTTTTATCCTGACATTAAATCCTTGATCATATTTAGTATTTTATCTTCAAATTTAAATAAAGAAATGAAACTACAATGGTGATGTGCTGTAATAAGCCTTACCCAATGGAATGTTGCATAATATGTGTTGAATATAAACCTTTTACCTATTACAAAAGCCAGCAAATGTAAGAATTCCAACAGAGAGCCACTGGTTTAGGGATAAATTTCTGAAAAAAACGTATTTATTATGTTATTTCATTGAAATACAAGAATCTATGAACGACCTCTTAGGGTAGACTAAAAATGCATCATGTTAACAGTGGTAATTAAATTTATTGTAGAGATACATAATTTTTATCAAATAATAATTGTATTAAATTGCATTAAACAATTGATTCCAAAACACAATCTTCTACATTTGTTTATTCCTCTTTAGGCAAGGTATCTGCTAGGTATCAGGCAGGGTATCTACTTTTGAACTTACCTTTTGATAATAAGTCTGTATAATATAGCCGTTGATACTATCTTCAAATTACTTAATACCTGGCAAAAGTTGATCAAATATATTGCATTCTTTACATAGGTACAAAATGTCAATTCTATGTTCTTGTACACAATATCAGTCAAGGCCGAAGAAAAATTAAAAAGAAACATCCATATAAAACAAAACGATTTTAAAAAATGAAATTGCCAAAATTGTTTCAATATTTCATGTTTTTCAATAAATAATTTTGCTAATTTTCTGTACTTGAATAAACACTTTTGTTTTTTTGTAGATCTAATTTCATAATTAAAAAACAAGACGGTCAACAGGACTATCAACCATTCTAAGCTACTCGTTAAACATGATCATGTTCAAGTATTGGCGCACACACATTTGAAAGAGTGAACAAAGCTGCATCTCTCAATTCATTTTACAGTATCATAGATTTCTCTACAAAATCACTTTTGAATGCAATTTTTTTTAATTCTTTATGAGTTGTTTAGATGTTTACAGATATTTGCCAAAAGGATGAAGTATTTGTTAAGACTTTTATGCGTACATGTTACAGGTCAAGCGTCAAACAATATAGGTGTTTTAAGAAGAAAGCCTTTTTCAGATCTTTGACCTCACCTAGTTGAAAGTAGATCAAAATTATTTACATTATTTTTACAAACTGTATCTCCATATTCTAAGTAGTACAATGAGTCATACAAGCAAAGATATCATACACTACCTGGTAAGAAGCAGGGTCCATCTGAAGCTGCATGTGTACAGCCAGATTGTTGTTGATAAAATAAAGGACTGCTGGTAGTGCAAAGGGGAGACACAGGGACAACGATGGTGGATGTAACTCATATCCACTGGCATGTAGGAGGATGGCAGACACCAAAAACTGTAAAATATGGCAACCAATTAAAGGTACATCTTCATACAGGGGGTGTAACTCCTACCGAATGACTCGTAGGAGGATGGCAGACACCAAAAACTGTAAAATATGGCAACGAATTAAAGGTACATCTTCATACAGGGGGTGTAACTCCTACCTAATGACTCGTAGGAGGACAGCTGACACCAAAAACTTTAAAATATGGCAACCAATTAAAGGTACATCTTCATACAGGGGGTGTAACTCCTACCTAATGACTCGTAGGAGGACAGCTGACACCAAAAACTGTAAAATATGGCAACGAATTAAAGGTACATCTTCATACATGGGGTGTAACTCCTACCTAATGACTCGTAGGAGGACAGCTGACACCAAAAACTGTAAAATATGGCAACAAATTAAAGGTACATCTTCATACAGGGGGTGTAATGACTCATAGGAGGACAGCTGACACCAAAAACTGTAAAATATAGCAACGAATTAAAGGTACATCTTCATACATGGGGTGTAACTCCTACCTAATGACTCGTAGGAGGACAGCTGACACCAAAAACTGTAAAATATAGCAACAAATTAAAGGTACATCTTCATACAGGGGGTGTAACTCCTACCGAATGACTCGTAGGAGGACAGCAGACACCAAAAACTGTATATACTTTCTGAAGTTGTTCTTCCCTTAATTTCATTTTTCTGACTTGGCTTCTACTGTAAGCTTGAAGTATGATTGTTCACCATGTTTGTGAATATGTATTTTCCCACTCCCATTTTAGTAAAAATAGAGTCCCTAAACCTATTTTTAAAAACAGAAAGACAGACATTTTCAGAAATATATGTACATGGCAATATACATATCTGGTAAATATAATTAATTACTAATTATAACATGTAATACTAGAGTTTGCTCTCTTCAAAGCAATGAACTGGTGAAAACCACTAAAAAATAGAAGTACATGTATTACAAAAACAGTTGTGAACTTCTTATTGCACATATTTATTTAAAAGACTGTGCTTTGTGCTCTTTTGATAAAAGTTTTTTATGGCCATTAAAAAGACCAAAAGGTAATATACTTCTAGTGGTATACTAAAAATATTTAACCAACAATCAGCTTGCTAAAACAATGATCTGGGAATGGAATAACACAACAAATGGCAGAAGCCAATCTGACTTACCTTCCCAATCTCCATCATCAGTACAACAGAGGATGAATTAAAGGGAATCTTGCCATCCACTTCACACAGATTGACAAAAGTAGAATATGACCCATACACCAAAGTTCTGAAAATTACAGAGAACTTTATGAATTCATGTATTTCTGAGAAAATCTCTGATCTAATTTAAAGTTATGGTGCACCCTGTTTTGACCCTAGCATTTTACATAACAGTAGTACGTACATATTTTTATCTGACAGTAAGTCCACCCGGAACTATTGGCAGTAATAATCAGTATCATTGAAAACTGGTGTTGCCGAGGGGGTGTATATATTTATTGTCCCTCTAAAATTTGTTACAAAATTATAAAATTATCATCCCTACAAAAATAACCTTTCATACAGTATTTTAATTCACATACTGTACTAACAATGTTTCAATATACATGTACAGATTTGAAAGACAAGTGGACCATCATATTTTTCCACATTTCAACAATCTGAGTAAATGACTTTCAGTAACAAGTGCATGCTTTTTTGTACAGAACATCTTTGAAAGATCAAAGAAAGTAACTTGGAGACAAGTCTGTCTTTCAGAAATTTTTGTGCCCAAATAATGTATTATGTTTTATTTTATTCCATTGTTTTTAGGATAATCAATTAAAGCATTATCATCTAACACTTCAAACATGGCACACCTTTTGAAAAATTAGTAAAAATTATATTGGTGGCTGAAAATTCTCTTTTGATAATGCAATCATTTATTTCATTATCAAATCAACAATATAGTTTTAGGAACCTACCCGGTGCAGAGAAGTGCTGCCCATCGCAGCGAAACAAACATGTCTTTACTGCATCTGTTTTTCTTAAACTGGTATACATGTGTCGGTAACTTGTTAGTCTGTAAATATAAAGAAGTGAAGACAATAAAGTTTTTATGAAAAATGAAGTTATAACCAAAACAACCACACATAACTTCCATCAGTACAAGAGTCAAATATCTCACGTTTAAACTTTATGTTACCAATTTCGTTTCTTGAGAACAAAAAAAAAATGAAATTTCAGAAGATATGTGATGAAAAATGGTATGCAATTGATCATTTAGATAACAAGAGATCGGAAAGGGATCTTGGCGTCCACAATTGTTTGATCTTTATTTGCTCTTTGAAAGTTGGATTTTTTTCCCTTCTTCTTGTCTCTGTTTTTGTGCTTTATGAAAAGGCATGATAATTTTAACCTGCCAGATCCAAAATGGCTGCTGAGAGCCATTTTGTTTCTTCTGATCAATTCCAAAATCAAACGGGCTAAAGGAGAGACCAAAAGAAACATACATATGATATTTGATAGATATCCATTCAGTACTTCTTAAGAAATAGGGATAACAAACATTACAAGGTGAAATACAAAATGGCTGTCTGCCTGCCATTTTGTTTTTCTGAAAAGTCCCAAACTCAAGCAGGCACACCTAGGGACAAAGAGAAACATACATATGAAATTTGAGAAAGGTCTATAAAGTGCTCTTAAAAAAGAGTGATAAACTTTCAAATTCAAATCTAAGATGTCCATCTATCTGTTTGTGTTTTTCTGATCAGACCCAAATCAAACAGGCACAACTTGGGACCAAAAGAAACCTACAATTGAATAATCTACCATCTGATGATGGTAAGCTAAAATAAAATAGAATCTTAATTCAAACTCAAACTGATGCAACTTCAGGGTGTAATATGAACAAAAGAAAGCAAGAGAACCCAGAGGGATCTTGGCTCCCACCATTGTTTGATCTTTATTTGCCCTTTGAAAGATGGATCTTTTCCCTTCTTTCCTCTGTTTTTGCTCTTAATGATAAGACATTTGAACATTCATTTGTTAAAATTGTGATGATAATCATTACCTGCCAAATCCAAATTGTTTCTTCTGATCAGTCAAAATCAAATGGGTACAAGTAGGAGACGAAAGGGAACATACGTACGAAATTTGAGAGATATCCATTCAGTACTTCTTAAGAAATAGGGATAACAATCTTTACTAGGTGAAATACAACTTTTGAAGTCAAATTCCAAGAAGGCCGTTTGCGGGCCATTTTTTTTCTATTCAGTACACAAAAATCAAACAGGCACAAATAAGGCAAAAGGGAACATCCATATGAAATTTGAGAAAGATCCATAAATTACTTCTAAAGAAATAGCAATAACAAACTTTCAAAGTCAAAATCTAGATGATCGCTTTTCGGCCATTTTCTTATTCTGATCAGATCCAAAATCCAAGTAACCACCTGTTGGCCATTTTGTTTTTTCTGATAAGTCCCTAAACTAGACGGCAACAATAAGGGACCAAAAGGAACCTAGTTCTAATATTTGAGAAAGATCTGTACAGCAGTTCTCAAAATTTAGCCATGACAAACTTTCAAGGTAAAAATCCAAGATGGCTGCCTTTTAGACATTTTTTGTTTTGACTAGTCCAAAAATTAGATGGGCACAACTAGAGACCAAGTGGAACCTACATAACAAATTCAAGTGAGATCCAGCCAATACATTTCAAGAAACAACCATAACAAACTTCATTGAAGAAATCCAATATGGCCACCTTTCAGCCATTTTGTTCTTTTTTATCAATCCCAAAATCATTTAGGACTTCTCAAGAAAGAGGGATAACAAAAATTGTTTAAGGACGGACGACAGATGGATGGACCACGAATGCAGAGTGAAAATGAAGAGCCCACCATCAGATGGTGGGGTAAAAATATACACCTTGAAATAGCAAATGAATAAGACCAGATGTTCTGGAATGGTATATGTATATCTTAAAGGTATAATGGCTTTTAATAAGTCTTTCACCACATCTTTATCAGTCAAAGTTGATGGTTTTATTTCCTCAGATGTACAGGATACATAAGGTATGTGCAGTGCTCCTGATATGAACTTAAGATTCAAAAGATGACACCTCTAAGTGCTCCACTGAACATCCTACTAGCTAAAAGTAATGCTGGTCTTTAAGATTAAATAGAAATAAAAGTTAGTTTTTGAAAGTCAAACAAGAATTAGGCACGATCATTGATATCCCAATAACAATGTAGCTTTATTTTATTGCATCAAACAATTATGATGACACAGCCCAGTAGAATGTCCCTGATTATATCACTTAGGGTAATTTTTATGTGGTACTTATGGTTTCCTGTGTATGCACTGAAAAATCTCAACTTAAACCAAGCATCTAAAATCTTAATTCTGTAGTACCCCCTATTTTCATGGTTATAAGTCGCACTGGCATATAAGCAACAGAGCCCATTTTCATCAGTTTTTTTTTTTACTTTATCCACATAAAAGATGCACTGGAATATAAGCCACACCCTTTCTTATGAAGTGGTAACTGTTATGTCGACCAAACTTTGTTGATATAACAGAAAACGAAAGTCAACACTTATTAGAATTTGCAAGTGGATTATGTACAAATAATCCTTTGTTTTATTGATCTATTTTAAATATTACTGTGATCTTTCAAAATACATAAAACAGTTAATGTTAAACTCTATAACTCCAAAGATTATGTATAGATATAGGGCCTGACATTAAGTGTGATTTACTAAACAATCTCTTTGTAAACCCCACGAATACTTTTAAACCAGGAACAGCAGATGAAGTCACCCATAACAGACAGAAGCCATTTCAGTATCCTCCTTCCCCTTAATTAGTTCATTTAGAAAGTGAGAAGATTTTAATGATCATCACAGTCACAAGTAAATGTTGTATAAATTTGGGAAGTTGAAAAACACACTGGAAGCAATCTATGAAAAACTGTTTTTTAAAACCCCTACCTTTTGTGTAGAGTCACCTGTGTCTGATTTATCATCCATGTTGGCAAGACTTGAGATCAAATGTACTTGTATGATTTATAATTCAGATTCACTGGTCACTTGATGCTACATCTTCAATCACAAAATAACCACTCATCACATTTTTTCAGCTAAATCACCCTAAATATTTTTAAAAAGCCTGAAAAACCACGTCAAACATACACCAGTTTATTTATGTGCATTCTTAGTAACTGCCTTAAGCAAGCAATCAGTTGACAGGCAACTTTCTTTGTTGTTTTCAGAACCACAGATAACATTTACAAACTATACGTAAACGTAAATTTTAATGTTCTTCTTTAAAGTCATTTAACTAACAAGAGGCCCAAGGGGCCTTAACAGTCACCTGAGGAATATATGTCAATAATCTGGGGATTTTAAAATGTTGCAAAAATGTAACAACACTTGTGCAGGACAATGTGTAAAACATCTGTACCAAGTTTGAACATGACCCACCCAATGGTTCTTAAGAAGAAATCCATAATGTCTTAGCCAAACAGAGGCCAGGGTGGCCATCTTGGATTTTGAATCGCCCCAATAAGGTAAAACACTTGCCAGGACCTTGTGTAGAACATTCGCATCAAGTTTCCCACTCCCCCCCTCCTGGGGCCCCTATTGGGGCCACGCCCTTTTTCTTCGCAAACTTGAAGCGGCTTCCCATGGGGATGCTCTGTGCCAAGTTTGGTCAAAATCCATCCACTGGTTCTTGAGAAGTAGTCATTTAATGAAGGTTTTTACATCTGGCCCCGATATTTTTTTCATTCGCAAACTTTGTAGACCTTCCCATAAGGACCATAAATATCAAATATGAATTTAATCTGACTGTTGGTTCATGAGAAGAAGATTTTTAAAGATTTACCTAATTTTACCCCCTTTTTCCTCCTCCTGCGGCACCTATTGGGGCCACCCCCTCTTTCTTCGCAAACTTGAAGTGGCTTCCCATGGGGATGCTTTGTGCCAAGTTTGGTCAAAATCTATTCAGTGGTTCTTGAGAAGAAGACGAATATGTGAAAAGTTAACAACGCACGACACACGATGACAGACAAATCATGATGGCAATAGGTCACCATGAGCCTTCGGCTCAGGCGACCTAAAAAGCAAACAGAATTCTTTTATCATAAAAATATACAATGTTTCTCACAATTTTTAACACAATTAAGTACACAAAATGATAACTTGAATATACATTGTAACCAACACAAAAAAATGTAATATTTGTTTCTAAAAGCCAAATTAAACGAAGTGTTAAAGGGGCACTAGAGCTTATAACTGTACACTTTGTATGATATCTAAATAATATAAATATATATACAATATCTAAGATTTAGAATGCAAGAATGAAGATTTCATAATAATATTTATTTTACTTTTCCACTAGTGCTGTAGTAAAGTTTCACCACCAGTGTTACTTAAGCATACTATTAGTATGTTCCATCACTGTTCTGACAGCATTCCCTCTGGTAGTTTTAAAACACATACACTGATTCACTCACAAGCCTTTATTTGTGATTTTTCCCCCATTATTTTTATCAACATCTACACATTTATATCCGGGATGTATTGCTTCCAAGCAAACAAAATATTTGTACTTTGTAACATACTTAAGAAAATGAATATTCTCAGATCATGAAATATATGTATAGGTAAACACTGACCTAAAAACATCAAAACAAGTTATATAACGATACATCTAGATATTTACACCACTGCTTTCACCTGTATGAAGACCTTTCAGGCATATGCAAAAATGATTTTAGCAGGTTTTGTCACATTTCCTCAGACATGACACATTATTACATACGTTTGTATGGGCTCATTACAAAGATATATCTATATATGATCAAGATCTTAAATGAGTTTTCCTTTCATGTTTCATAATTTCTAATATAAAATGAAAACAAATTTAGGCTTTGACTAATACCTCGGGTTACAGAGGCAACTGTTAATAAGGTTGATGCCACAAAAACAGGAACAGAATTAAATGCCTTGATTAACAACACACAGAATTGAGACAAAGGATATTTATAGAGAGAAATCCTAAGAGGTAGCCTCAATAATGACATGTGAAACCTATTGTTTTGCAATTTATTGGCAAAAAGTTGAGCATGTGGCAAAAGGAATCCAAGTTGAGTCTATAATAAATGTGATCTTTGAGAGGCCTGAACAAATTTTTCAACTTAGATAGGCAGTGTATCATGTATCAAAAGAAAGAAGTCACTCTGTACTACATCTTGACCTTTAACCTAGAGAAAAAAAAAATGAAAAAAAAACCAAGAGTCCCATGAGGTAGTACATGATACCCCCGTCATTGATCGAATGAGCATATTGCAACAAGACAGGGAAGGAAAGTGATGTTTAACACATGAAGGTCATTTACAGACGGTGCCAGTTGTGTAATAGTGGAGGAATCAAGGGGCCATAACTATAATGGTAATGAATCTCCCTATGAAACTTGAAGTTGATCAATTGAAAACTACTTGCAATATTGAGGAGACACTATTTTGATAATTCAATAAAGGGCCATGACTCCGTGAATTACAGTAAAAAAATGCATTCATCAAACTTGTGCAAGTGGTCATTGTAATGAACCTTCCTATCTATTTTGAACTTGAGCTGTGGAAAGCTAATTGAGATATTGAACAGGCACTGTTTTGGTAATTGAATGAGGGGCCATAACTCCCTGAATTACAATCCAAAAATTACGGCGATCGAATTTGTCTGAGCTATCGTGGTATTGAACCTCCTATAAAGTTTATAGCTGATATGTATAAAAATGCTTCAGATTCCATGCTGCAATACTCACCATTTGAACTTCATACTTGAGGATTGGATTCACCTTGGTGAGGGTGTATGTTGGTGTGAGACTGTCATTTCCCAAATTTCCTTGTCGTAAGAAATTTGAAAATTTATATTAAGAAATACAAGAGTATCAGTGAAACTAATGAATGCTCCTGAAAACAACTTTAATTTGTTGGACACAATCTTTTAATAAAGTGGCAATAATTCTGTGATGAAGGAGTTGTGGGCCCAAACATTGGTATACTGCACATTCTCTTAGTATGATTAATGTACACACCAAGTTTCATTATCCTACCTTCATTACAGGCAAAGTTATGCTCTGGACAAGATATCTTAATGAAGAGCAATTACTCTGTAATTGAGAGGTCCAGCACCCTGAATTTGGTACACTGCACATCTACTTAGTATGACCAATGTATACATCAAGTTTCATAATCCTTGTTTAGCTGTCATCAAAGTTATGCTTCGGACATGAAAGGATGGACAGACAGACAAGGCGGCAACTATATGCTTCCTTGAAAGCATCATCAGCAATAATATATTTAACTATTAAAATTTAAAGTTTTAATTTTTTGGATCGGTGTACCTTATTTCCAGTTTAAGGTTCAGGAATTTTCATCTATGAATGAGAAATACAATATCTGTTATGCAGAAGCAGCTGAATGATCCTGACTTGGCGTAAAAACTTATCCTGTCTCCTTATATTTTGATACAACTATATTTATGGATGTACTTACAATATTTGTAATTTATTTTTTTTTGTAATTTTTTATTTTTAAGCATTTTTTACAAGTATAGTTAACATCACATAAGCATACACACACTCCACACACAGAAACTTGCATACCTGTATAGGATTGTAACTATTTGTGAATCAATAACTTAAGTATATTGTAGATAATATCCTAGTTTACACAACATTCTTATCTTCATAGTTGCCATCAGCATTAGAATATTGCAATCAGGATTCATCCATAGATATATAATTAAGAAAATATGGTCTACAAAAACCAATTACCATTTCTATATACACAACAAAACACATTACACACACACACACACACACACACACACACACTTTCCTTCCACATAGAGAGACAGAGAAAAAGAAAGAGAAGAAAAGAGAGGGTGATAGTGGGCTAAACATTCATATCACATCTATGTATCTCACTCACCAACAATTTCTAATCTTTTTCACTTACATTTTGAAACCCTCACACACTTTAGAGGAGAATAGCAGAGATAAAAAGAGACAAGCAGCAAGGAACAAGACAGAGGGCTAGTGGAAGAGAGAAAAATTATATATGAGTATATTGAAAATCTAAAATACACAATGAAAGGTCATTTTATTCTTTGTAAAGTCTGCTAGTCCTGGAGAAATTTTGAGCTGGTGAAGATTTTATCATGAATATTAAGATAGTATCATTAAGTAGTATTAAGTACACATACTATTGAATGGTTCATCAAGTAACATTTATATATACATGTATGAGTAAAGCTTTATGATGTAGGTATATGAAAACTATGAGTATGATTGAAAGAGAAAGGGTGAAAAAAAAAAAAAAAAAAAAAATATATATATATATATACTATATTGGCCTAGTAATTATAATGTTATTATACAGCATCAGAGAGTAAAACCAACTGAGGGAAGACTACAGTATTGATACTACACAGTAAAATGAAACTACATCGGTCTATATAATGCATGCAGTTATTTCAGCATAATCAAGTTATCCTAGTGCAGATTGTAAAATGTTTACATACATTATGTCTGAAAAAACTCATACAACAATAGACACATAATAAATCATAGATTATTAAGGGTTTTCATTTTACAGTGAAGTATATTTACCTGCACAAATTATTATGCAATTTCTATCAAAGACTTCCATTTTCTCCATTCATTTTCAAATCTGACCTTTTTGGAGTCCCCTTGACTATTTGCTATATATTTCTGAACAGAGTAGTATTCTTTGATAAAATTTACAAATGCATTAATGTTTAATCTTCTATGATAGCATCTAGTCTTATAGATATAATTCTTAATAATTATTAGTATTACATTGTCAATTTTTGCTGATGTAAGCATTTGATGTTGTAATGAAAATCCAAAGAGAAATTTTTCTTTATTATAAGCAAAAGGAATAACAAGTGCTTCTAGAAGTACTTCAAGACTTTGTAAAAAATTTTGTACTTCTTGACATTCCCGCATGATGTGGATTATGGTTTCCTGTTCTACATTGCA